CTACTTGGAAAACAATTATAGTTGGCATAACGAAACCATCAGCTTTGCCTGTCCACATGCATGAAAATTTAATCTTGTAATATTTCGTCTCTGATCGGTATGATGATATAAACTAAGAATATACATTCTGTTATATATAAGGAAACATTGTAAATGATTTATTAAACTCGTGCTATTACCTTGCCTTAATGTCCGGCATCGAATCCCTCTTTTGATTCTATAGTATGTTACGGATCTTTTTAACCACGGAATCAGAAAATGTGTAAATACTGTACAACTGTTTACAGTGACATGTTAGTGTTATTTGCCTAATGTCTTTTAGGATATGGAGGTTCTTCAACAAGCTGATATTGTACGAAATTTGGTCAATATTTTGAAAACAAATGTCGCCGCCTGCAAATCGATTGGCAATCCGTTTTCCAACCAGGTGCTTGCCCATTTGCTAATTTCTTTTGTTGATTAATACGGTAAATGCAGTGCACCGTGTGATCATATGCAGAGCCATAAATTACTATCATTTAAAAAAAGTGATTTTACAAATGAACATGATACACGGCTATTACTATTTGTAGTAGTAGGTCATCCTCGACTCAGAGTGTAGTTGATTATGCCTCATCTTCCGTACACATTCGTAATTAGTGATCGTCGTTCTTTTTAAAGGTTTTCTCGAATGTGAGTCAGTTGTCGTGGCACTGGTAACCGGAAACTGACTGTTTCAAGGTTGACTACGGTTTCTCTGATTGTGCTAGGAGTTTTAGGCGCAGTTCTCTCACATGCGATATCGACCTAAGATTGCTTTTTGCTGTCAACGACTTGAATGATAGACTGAAATTTGTATTCGTGCATTTATGACGATCAGTGACAAATTTAATTCCGCATCCTGGCAAATACTAGCAAGCATATTCAAGCTTGGGCTAAGATTTCTTAGGTGGAATTTTGTCGACATTGCGGGAAAAATCTTACTTTCTCATCACTTCTTTGTATAATTGATTAAGCATCGTCTGTTGCTTAATCTTGACCTGTGAGTTTTTTCTCTATTCAGAAGGTAGGTAGCATGATGAAATGGTTTAATATTGCGTTCTTTTCGGATCGATGCGAATAGTGTGACCTGTCGCTGTTTTTGTCAGGTGGACAAGGTTTTTTCCGTTTGCTGTACTGTTTAAAATTAATTGAGTTTCATTGGTCAATTCCTTCGAGGCTCATTGACGACTCAGGAAAGTACATTTCATCACATTTAGCCCTGCCTTTCTATCCGGCATTTCTTGGTTATCCATTCTTCGTTTGGGGATTTTGAAGCAGTCTATTAATCGTACTGAGAAACTTGTGGAAGATATCTTTTCAATGAATAACGAGGAAAAAAAACTATTCAAATATATTGAAAGAATACAGAAATTGTTTGTTCCTGTGATAGTTCAGTGTTATGTTCGCAAAGTCTACAGAGAACGTCGTGGGTTTTCGTTTCATCCCTTTATGGATCGATGTCATAGATGTCTTCTGGTGTCTTCTGAAGAAACTTCAGATTCAGATCTGGTTAATGTCGATGGCCAAGTTTCCATCGAAAAGTTCCATTCGAATTTCGTCGCGTATTAGAGCAGCTGATTGCCATTTATTACATCTTTGGTTCGTTTGAAAAATCTCTTGCTGAGCATTATTTATTTGCTTCTACCATGTAAAGCTTTATCTGCATTTCGAATTAAAATGACGTTGTGTGACAGAGAGTGCAGTACTTTCGCAATTTTTGCCAACAGTTGAATCCGGAAGCACAAGTCGTGCGACAGATTAACATTGGTTGATGGTCAAATTTTAATCATTATATAAGTAAATTGATTGATTGATCCTCCCAGAGCAACGTGAAATGACAAGTTACTGGAAAGTGTAAAACTTGGAATGGTTTAAGCTTATAATCCTTTTCGATAGACCTTGTTTGACGGCAAGCGACATGGACTGTTAGGAAAGTTGGTTGAAGCCGCTGCCCTGCAATCGGGAAGCTGTAAAACTAAATGATTGTTTATAATATGCTGTGAAATAAGTCTTTGGGATCATAGCTTCGGATCGTAATGTTTCTTTTCATTGGTTGGGTCTGTTGCTTCACTTAATCATCGAATAGATCTGCATTTTGCGCGGTCTGAAACAGCCATTTTTTAATGTTTTCTGTACTCTACAATATTTGTTAGAGAGTTTATTAACAGATTGCATCATTTCATGTTCTGAACTGTATGTTTTTTCAGCTCATAAGAATTTATCTTGATATGCTAAACGTCTATACGGCGACGTCGAGCAATATAAATGGTGCTATTTCTTTGCACGGCGAGGATATAGTCAGTCAGCCTCTGATCAAATACATGAGAGGCGTGAAGACCGAGATTTTGCGACTGATATCGACGTGGGTAGCCAAAGCCGAAAACGTGGAACTGGTAAATGCTTAGTTTGTTTTTATCTTGCAGTTACGGCAGATTCATAAAATACCATTTTGCCTTCTGTCAATGAATATCATAAATCATGTTTTAAGCATGTCGGTTCTGTCCTTTCTGGACTTTGAACATTCTAATTTTGCGTGATGACTGCTATTGAAAATGTCACTGTAAAAACTATTTTTTTATCGGTGAGCTTCTAGTTTTGAACCCTGAGCATAATTTTGCTAATGTTTTGTCTGTGCTTTGTTTAGTAGCCAGCTGCTGAAATACTCATAAGAAGAGAATATTTGTTGATACAAAAAGCTTAGTGCTCTTCTAAGTCATTGGATCATTTGGAGCAGTCCGTGTTCTTCGATGAATCGCACCGGCACGCCACACGCTACCGCCTCCCATTCCTCGCGGTTTTGATAATTTTCCTCCCAAGCACGACCTTCCCGATCCCAGATTTAATCGTCCACCTGTCGTCTTGGCGATCCAGCGACCGAATCCGCCCGTGACGGTGTCAGTGGGCGATCATCCTTGGCCATCTCTAACCATCCATGTGAATGTCATCATTAAAAATACGGATTTGCGTTGTAGAGGGTTGTCATGTTTTTCTCTTTTAAACACCGGATTTTTCAGCACCGGGCTGCACCGCCCCCTTGCTGTTATTTTCCTCCTTATACTGTTTAGGCACACTACAGTGTGCTATTAATCCGCAGTGTTTGATCTGCGGCGCTAGATGTCTTTCACATCCATAAGTAAACTTTCATGCATTTAGTGTATTAATACGTGGGGAGCAAAATCCCAGATTGGAGGAATTAAACACTTTTTGGCATGGCATCCAGAATAATAGTATCATAGAGTAAAAATATTTCATTTCCTACAAGTGAACTAATATAACGCATAGGTCACTGAGATAGTTGTACGACCACTGTGATTCATGACTATTATATTTCTCTTGAAGTCTGCAGAATTTCTCGCTTATATTTTGTTATGGTTTTGAGTCGGCCACTTCATGATCCAACGCGGTACTTCAAGTTCATGACGATAAATCCTGTGTGTTAAATCAGTGTTAAAACGATAAAAGTCGATTAGTGGATCACGGCAATAAAGGAAACAGGGAGTCCACTCAGTTTGGGGTTGAAAAGTAGCAGTGACTTTGAAAGAAAGAAATGGTGGTTTGGATCTTCTGTTGATTATTGCGCTACATAGTCAGCAGTTAGGTGGGTCAATCGAAGTGCCACGACAAAGGGTACTCGCATCTAACAAGATGATCGTAATAATGATGCTGATCATGACAAGGAGGACATTAATATTCATTAGTGTTATCGCAATGATCTTGAGTCTCGTTTTTATCAGTGTTGCAGATGATTATTCATTATCTTTGCAAGCTTTACATGGCCTGGGCATTTCGAACTGTGATCCACTTCAGCTAGTGTCACAGTTTTCTACGATGTGCCTGACGACGACGATTTTGACACTGTTGTTCTACCGTTATCACCATGATAACGCACATTCGCAGAATCACTGTTATTTTTCTCCCTCATGATACTAATGGACACGCTACAGCCTAATAAGTTTCAGTCACCTTAGAGGTGTTGTGTGGCAGGCCGTTTAGCGGTCAGATTTGACGTGACGGTTACCAACAGAAATGATTGCCATGATGAATTTCATTAGACGGAGTAGCTATGATTATTTATAATCGTCATTTTGAATTCCACATTGGGATTTTCTGTTTTGAACTACTGTACACATAAAATGTCACTAGGGTACATTTTAATCTTTGATGGTCATGATTGAACGTTTGAACGTTTACTGCTTAAATGGAGTCACAGAGGAACTCTGTTTTTCAGCACAAGCAAAAATGTGTGTTTGTGACAATTAATGGTTGCATACAACGAATAAAAATAGTACTATTTTAAATTGGGCGTAGTTAAGTAATGCTGTCTAACTTGCAATTGCAGAATGGGTACACTGATGCAGATTACGACTGCAAGTAACGATCACGACCATAAGCACTATTTTGTACCTTCTCGTCATATATTCGTCGTCATCTTGTTCGTTAGTATGACACGTCATAAGATTAATACCAGACATACCAGCTAAGCTTTTTGAGCTATTCAATTTATTTGTATCTCACCATTTGGAGTCACAGCTTTTTCCCAACCCTTGTGATATTTACAACTGTGCAACCGTTATGTGTTCAGTCTCTTTCTTGGCTCTTTGAGCGATACTCAGAATCACTGAATGCTTTCTGAAGAGATCCATTGTTTTGGCGTAGTCATTTACCTGCTCGAGGTAGGTTATAAGCCATAATTTAAAATTTTCACTTTACATATTGTCTGTCTGTCGCGTATTCCAGTGATTTTTGAGACATTTTTGTGACATTCCTACTTGAAAGCTTTATGTTAATCGCGACTTACGTTTGCCTGAACACTGTTTACTGGTTCAGTCCCTGTTAATACTTATGTAAGTATAAATAACAAAATACTTTTGAGGTGTACCGTCATTTTGTACCTCCACTGTTCGAAGCCGTACTCTTGGACTATCAAAGCAATGTGCCTCCTGCCCGAGAGCCAGAAGTGCTATCAACGATTACAACAATCATCAACAAGTTGGAAAAGCTTATTACTCCAGAAATTCCCCGTATTTTTGATGCGATCTTCGAGTGCACGCTGAACATGATAAACAAAGTATAAGAGCTATAAATAGCTATATTTTCCGCTCTGCGGTTTTTCTGTACCTGATTTTCAGGATTTCCAAGAATTCCCTGAGCACCGGACGAATTTCTTCCTTTTCCTGCAGGCTGTGAACGAGTGCTGCTTCCAAGGTAAGCTTTACGACAATGTTTGAGCAGACGATTGAGTACGTATTGATTTATATTTGTATCTTTGTAGCGTTTTTGAACATCCCTCCTGCGCAGTTCAAGTTGATCATCGATTCTATCATATGGGGATTCAAGCACAGCATGCGCAACGTCGCGGAAAGCGGTTTGCTGATTCTTCTGAAACTGTTGGACAATATGGTAAACAAAACTGACCCAGAAACGGCGCAAAATTTCTACAGGGTCTACTTTCTCGACCTGCTGCAACACGTGTTCACTGTGGTGACCGATAGCTCTCAGGCACAAGTCGCCGGTGAGTGACCAGTGGTTTTTGGTGGATTCTATTGAATCATTTTCGTGATCTCGTTTCAGGCCTCTCATATTTCGCTTCCATTCTTTCATACATGTTCCGCATGGTCGAAGCGGGCACTGTCGTTGTCTTCCTTGGTGATCCCTCGGCCAGCAACAAAAACAACATCGACTTTCTGTTTCATTACGTGTGCAACTTCCTGAAGACAGCATTTCCGCATCTCACTGAGTTAGTACTTCGATTATTTTTAAAATTTATTATTTTGTGTCAGATATGTATTGATCTGCGAGACTCGAACCCCCACAGCTTCTTCTTGAGCAAAGCTGACTTGGTTTCCCTTGGTTGCTTGATTCCGTTTGTCTAATTTATTATCTAATCGTCTAGGTCAGTCACTGCAGCAGTTTCGCTATGCTCTAATTGTTTTGTGTCGCAAA